CATCCATCCATCCATCCATCCATCCATCCATCCACCCATTAAGTCATCATTCCAACCCCAGCATCATCATCAGCTCTTTACTCTCCCTCTTCCCCCAAAGCCAACCAGTGGCTAAGTATGGTGAATTCCATCTTCGCACCTCACAGATATCCCCTTCTCTCCACTCCCATTTAGACCCACCCATCCAAACCACTGCACTAGACTCATAGATGGTTTCCCTGACTTCAGTTTCTAATTTACCCTCCATACCATGGCCAAATTGATCATTCTAAAGCATAGGTCTGATAATTTTATTCCTCCTTGCTTGAGAAGAGCTAGAAAATTGGGGGGGGTGCATATTACATCTTTATTTTCACTAACTTTTGACTAAAATTTAGCATTTCCTTCAATTATGAACGTAGCCAACAAATCACAGGAAGATTAGTAGTAGTTGTAATTTTTTCACCAGTAGGAATCACAGATATTTTTATCTCACAGTACAGTTGTTGCAGATACCTCAAAATATCGTTATGCTTATCACTATTTCAAAATTGTTATAATTATTATAGTCCATTAGATTACACATGATTCTTGTCTATAGGCTGTATTTCAATATAATTAGATTCTATTACATTCTAAGTTCCTTGAGGACAGGGTTGTCTTTTTCCTCTTTTTGTATCTCTAGGCACTTAGCACAGTGCCTGGCACATAATAGGCACTTAATAAATGTTTATTGATTGACTGGTTGATTGGTAGTTAGTTACCCTTGTAATCCCAGGTATTTTATTTTATTCATTTATTCATTTAAAGATATGATTTTCAGAAGGGGCTCATGACACAAAAAAGTTTAAAACCCCTATTCTAGATTGATTTCACATTATGCCCCTCAAGCCTTCTGTGTTCTAGACAAATTGGCCTCATTCTTGTTCTTCATACATGACATTCTATATCCTTTGTTTGCCTCCATACAGGGTGTCTGCAATGATCAGAATGCCTTCCTTCTTCACCTCCATCTCTTGAAATCCTTTGTTGTTTAAGACTCACTGCAATTTCCACGTCTTTTTTTTTTTAATTTTTTAATGAGGCAATTGGGGCTAAGTGACTTGCCCAGGTTACACAGCTAGTAAATGTCAAGTGTCTGGTCTGAGACTGGATTTGAACTCAGGTCCTCCTGACTCCAGGGCCCGGTGCTCTATCCATTGTGCCACTTAGCTGCCCCAAATACCACATCTTCTAAAAGGCCTTTCTTGATCTGTCTGTTTCTTCCTACCCCCAAACTCCTGTGTGTATAGGTATATGTACATATGTGTACATACACACATCTATACATATATATACATACATACACATGGGCATATTTGAATTTCCTTCTCAGTGAACATGTTCTCCCCCAGAAGAATGTAAGCTCTCTGAGGGTAAGAACTGTTTTATTTGCTTTTTATACAAAGACAGTGCCTGGCACAGCCTCCTTTCCCTGTACCCATCCTATTATAAGTGCTAAAATTAACGCTTATTGAATTGAACTGAATTCTTGGAGTTTCTCCAAAATACAGAAGGCTCCATGGCCACTTTGGAAATGAAATGCCAGTAATTTGTACTTAAATACTTGTGAGTAGAATAAGATAGCTTTTCCTTAATGCATCGATATTAGCTAGTTAATTCATCATTTTCCATGATGAATTAATTAGGCTTATAACAACTGTTACTATTATTGATTAACACTAGTATTAATTTATTAAAACAGTCTCACGATTTAGTCACGTGCTATTTTGTGACTACGGATCTTAGATATTACATTTACCCTACCCCCACCCCAAACCTTTCCTCTTTCCCAAATTCCTCCTCATAAGCCAAATTAAGGGAGAGGCACAAAAATAAATCATAATTATCTAACCATTAACTAGAGATCATTTCAGGCTAAATATCCATGAGTGAAGAGTGAATAGCTACT